AGAGAACCAGGCAGCCTGTTCCAGGGTTGCTGTGAGGAGAGAAGCTGGGAGCGGCCCCGGGAGCAGGGCAAGGGGCAGCCTCAGCTGATCAGTAGGTTGTCAGCTAGGCTAAGCCGACCTCACAGACACTGTCCCCATGTCTCCATGCTAACGGGCCGGCTGGGAGCTTCATTCTTGCATTTGAAACTTTTATGGGAACTTAGATTTGAAATCTCTGGGTGACCAGCCAGTTAAGTCAAGTTATTTGAAAGCTAGCAGTTAATTATTGTAAACCAGCTGGCGGCATTCTGTGGATCAAAACCGTGATGGTGAGTGAGAAGCTGTCCTCTGGTCTGTATTGCTTAAAACCACGCCCCTTTGCCAGCTCACAGACCCAGGGGCCGGAAGTCTGGGATGGCGTGGCCGGGGTCTCCACTGTGGTCTCAGGCTGAAATCAGGATGTTAGCAGCTGAGTCCTCGCTTCCAGGCTATTCGGGCCATTGGCCAGACTCGGTTCTGGGGCTGGGACTGAGGCCCCGCGTCCTTGATGACTGTTGGCTGGGGGTCCCTTTCAGCTGCTGCGGCGAGCCCAGGTTCTTGCCCTGTGATCCCCTTCATCTTCACAGCTGGTGATGGCGTGTGAGGGCTCCTCCTGCCTTGACTCTCCCTGCCTTCCTGCCAGCAGCCAGAGGAAGTGCTCTGCTTCTAGAGGGCTCTCGTGTATGGGTTGAGCCTTCCCGGTTCTCTCCTGTTTTAAGGCTGCTGTCCCGTGGGCTACATCCCACACAGGGTCCATCATGCAGCCGATTTGCGAGGGGCCCTCAGTGTGCTCACAGGTCCCAGGATTTGGGTGTGGAACCCTGGGGACCGTTTGTGGGATTCTGCCCACCATATCCCAGGTCCTGAGTTGTTGTTGGGTGCCATTGGGTTGACTCCAACTCACAGCAAACCTATGTGACAGGGTAGAACTGCTGTATAGGGTTTTCTCAGCTATAATCTTCATGGGAGCAGTTCACCAGGTCTTCCATAGAGCTGCTAGGTGGGTGGGTTTGAACCGCCCACGTTTTGGTTAGTAGTTAAGTGCTTAACCGTTGCACTGCCAGGTCTCCTTAGGGCCTGAAATAGCTTCTGAGTTTTCACCAGTGTTTTGTTTTAAGATGATAACATGCTTCCATCCCATTAAAGAGTTACAGGAGCAGCTTCTGGCTGCAGCATCTCACGTGGAAGAGTTAGAACAGCTAAAGCGAGACTTTGCACAACAGCAGCAACGAGAGAAAATCGAGCATGAGACTGATCTGGAGCAGCTGAGGATTTACTTTGAAAAGAAGTTAAGGGATGCCGAAAAAAGCTACCAAGAAGACCTGACTTTGTTACAGCAGCGGCTGCAAGAGGTGAAGGAAGATTCTTTTCTGGAATATGCAGATATCAGGTAAATAAAATGATTTTTCATCTTAAATATGTGTTTGAAATATGGGAACTTTGAACTTTGAATTCAGATCTCTTTTTTTTTTGCGATCTTGTGCCAGTCAAGACCACCAGCCTTTGATTTTATGTTTATTTAGAAATGATTTTCTTTAGTTGGGACTTCAAGCAAAGATGAAATTCAGCGGGGTCTGAGTCTCTGGCCCAAGTGACCGAGCCTTGGGACAGAGCAGAGTTCAGGATGGAAGGCGGTGTTCGCACAGTACTTAACTCATGTCTTCTCTCTTAGTTCGTCCAGTACCTTTTTAGAAGAGATGGCTGAGAAGGAAAGGAAAGAACACCTTGACCAACTTAAGCTTCAGCTTGAGCAACACGAGGTGATGGGCCATTTTTTTTTTTAATCATTGGGAGAAGATTGAGTTTTATTAATCTTAGACTTAGAAATCTGGATTTCATCCTTTTCACCTACCAAGTAGAGGAAGGCTTGCTTTTCTACCTTGCACACACCTCTGACGATTGGCACATTGCATTGTTGTCTGTTTGCGTATCTGTTGGGAGACAGCTTCTCTAGGGCATCAATCAGGAAGTGGAAGTGGTGGTTGGAAGAACCCTCACATGCTTTCCTGGTCCCGTGTCTCCGCGTGCTCCCCACACTGCGGCCATCAGACTTCATATTCCTTTGTCCTTGAGTTGCCCCCGCACTGTTTATTTCTGTCGTTTTTAGCCCTGTAAATCAGCGCCATCCTAGCAGTGTTTTCTGTGATGATGGACGCGTTCTCCTTCCATGCTGTCCAACATGGCAGCACCAACACATGTGGCTGTTGAGCCTGTGAGATGTGGTTGGTGCGCCTGAGGAGCTGAAGGTTTAACTTTATTTGATTGTAATTTATTTGAATGTAAGTCACCTTGCTTGTCCAGTGGCTGCTGTGCTGGGCAGCTCAGTTCCTGTGTGATGTGGCGATCTTTCTGTGACAGTGAAGTCAGATTTGCTACCTGGGAGGGTAAGCACAATCTTTTATTTTACATATCTGCTGTCATTGGCCATTTAGGTTATTTCCAGTTTTCCATTGTTGATTTCTGTCTCTCTTATGAATATCGATTGTTTCTGAGGGTCACATTCCTAGGTCTATGTGATGGCAAAGATTGTGTGTCAGCTAGGCTGGGCCATGATTCTCCGTGTTTTAATGTAATTACTCTCACGATTGAATATACTGTGAGTAGCCAATCAGATGAAAGGGATTCTCATTGTGGGTGTGG